CATTATAAAATATTATTTTATTTTAATTATTATTTAATATTTTTTAAATAAAATTATTTAAATAGTGTATAAATTTTTTAAATTTAAAAAATAAATAAATAAAACAAGTAATGATTAAAAAAATTTACTTTGTATTGTCGATAATAGGTAAAATAATATTTTTAACTATTTCGAGAGAGATATGAATTGGTACTACTTTTTTCTTTTTCAGTAAGATAAGTATGTAATTTTTATATTCATTTTGTACTTATATTTAATTATAATATAAGGTAAGAACTATGGAATAATTAATATACTTATTTTTTGTGCGAATTATTTTCCTAACTTAGAAATCAATAGTTTATTTCTTTTATTGAAAAAAAAAATATTTAACAAAAAATAAAAATAAATTTAGTGGACATTAGTTTCTTTTACGCTCTGGCATTTATATATATATTCATTCATATCTCAGAGGCATATTTCTGTAAAACTTCTCTGCCTTTTGCACCTCCTCTTTGTCCCTTGTTTGGTTTAAATTTGCCAGTTGTATCGGTGTATATAGCCATAGGTATCCTCTCTGTCTCTGTCTCTGTCTCTGTCTCTGGTTCTGTCTCCATCACTATTGCTACATCTCCTCCTCTTCAGATTTCATTGTTGAGGTGGAATGCTTGTTCTTTTTGGAAGATAATCGCGAGAGTTTAATGTGAGTTTTGTTTTTCTGATTTTATTGTTTTTGTATTTCGGTGTTCTTTGAGTTGCAGATCTCGGTTTGTTGAGTTTGATTCGGTGAGTTCGCGAGAATGTCGAAAGCTGGCGCGTTGGATCTCGCATCGGGAGTCGGTGGAAAGATCGATAAAAACGATGTTCTCTCTGCTGTTGAAAAGTAATTGTTTTAATAGATTCAATCTCTGTCTCCGTCTGTGTTGAATCATTTAATGTTCATTTAATGAGATTAAATTATATATATATATATATATATATACACGAAATCGTGATTTTGACTCTTAAGAATGGTATCAATTACTTCTCTGTTTTATTGTTTGCTTCTCCGATCTCTCTCTCTACTAGATTGATTTGCTTTTCTTTCTCTCCTTAGAATGATGCTTTTTAAAAAAAAAAAAATTCCTCGAATTTGGTTCTCGCTTATTTAAATGCTGAATGATCCTTTTTTTTAGATTCTCTTGGAATCTCCTTGATTTGAAATTTTTTCTCGCAATGCTGGTGTTTTCATCGCCTTTTTTTTTTCTTTGAAATGGTGGTATGAATTTCGTGATGCATGTTTTTTTTAGGAATTTTATAATCATAGAAGATTTAGTTTCTTTATGATGATGATTAAGAGTCTTTCGATACGTTCTCTTAGTTGACTCCCCAGCTTGCTTAAACCTAACGTTGAATAAGTCTTCAGATAGAAAAAAAAAAAACTCTCTATTTGTGCATGTGTATATATATATATATATTTATGTATATATAGGACTTTTACAGTTCTTACTAGTCTGTTGCCCATTGAATTTTATTGATGCTTTATATCAGTTTTGCTTTTGCATTTTTGTCTCTGCTCTGAATTTTGCTGTATTCAATTTTGACTGGGGTCTGTAAGAGCGAAGAGATGTTTTTCTGACTGTAGAATATGAAGTTATAATCAGAACTGAGAAATATTTTTTGTCTTTCATTATTATCATTTATTATTGTGGACCTTAATTTTTGACGGGGAGGTGGTGGAAAAGTTTCAAATTCTGGACCTGATCTATCATTTGGATTCTGACAAGACAGGTATGATGCCTGAGTTTTTAGTTTTAGTGAGCTAGGGTCACAGTCAATTGCCTGATGCGGCATAGCCTCTACCCACTTTCAAACTATCATTATCATTCCTAACAGGCTCATTTAGTTGCATCAGTGCCCTTGTCTGTTTTGGGCCAGAAACTAAGGAATCCAACCGAAGGGAATTCTATGGGAAATAACCCTGTTATGTACACATTTAAATCACGTGGGTATTCTCTGTTCATTTGGTTTCTTCCCCTATCAGGATCTTCTTAACTGGGATTCAGAGAAAATAACTCTAAACATCCATTTTTAACTTAAAAAATTATATTTCTGCAGTTGACGAGCCTTGTTTGTTTGTTTTATTCTTGAAATACTGAAGTCATGAATTAAAAGATTGCAGATCTGAAACACGGTTTCAAGAAAATTAGCCCTTTTGTTTTAGAAACAAGATTTCAGCACTCCCTTTGCATAACTGGGATGTAAATTTCTTTATAAAACAGTTGCTTGGGTATGTTCACCATGGGAAAATGGAAGTTTATAAGAGAGGGAGGATATTCATGCTTTTTGTTAAGGCTTTCTGTAGTTTTGTGATTGATGCTGGCAAGTTTTGATAATGAATTTTGGCTCATTTTGAATCGATGCCTATTCTGAGTTGGTCCTCTCATGGTCATTCTGTTGGTATGTCATGGGTAATGTTCCTATGCTGTATAATGATTCTCATGCAAGCTCCCATAAAACTTCCTTGATGTTTTATGGTTGAATCTATTGTACTTGAGTTTTACTTGCTGTATTCCAATTTTGTGTAACTTTTAGCTTGATGATTCAGGTATGAGAAGTATCATATTTATTATGGAGGTGAAGAGGAAGAGAGAAAAGCCAACTATACTGACATGGTAAGGAGAGACCTAATTGGATCATCCTATTGAAAACTGCTCACATTATAATCATTACCAGGCAATTGCTACTTAATAATTGCTCGTGTAATTTGTTATCGCTTGTAATTCATTTCCCTAGTTCTGTCAATACAGAGAAAATTAGCAAATAATTATCCAGTACATATGTGTCAGAAAATAAGTGCAAGTGAGGTTAATTTTGCATAAAATTTTTGTAGAAGTTGTTCAGACGAGTCACCATTTTGACTTCTGACTTCCTAACGGAAGTTGAAGACTAGGCATTCACTCTCAAGTTATTAAGATTAAATTTTGAAGATGAAGAAAAATGAGTTTTCTTTTTTCTTTTTCCACATCTAATATGATGCTCTCTTTGCTCAAAACAGAAGTGACATGTTGCATTTCTATATAAATTGCCTAGCTGTACCACAGCATCCAATTTATTTGATTTTGCTTCATGATTTCAGGTTAATAAATACTATGATCTTGTTACAAGCTTTTATGAGTTTGGTTGGGGAGAGTCATTTCATTTTGCACACAGGTATCTTTTTATTTTGGTGGGAAATCTATAACACTGATGTAGTCTTGTTGGTTCTGCAAGTGCCACCTAAACCAAATCCTTTTTCTTATAAGTTGTTGTTTTGCTAAATCTCTCTCAAAAAACCTCAAGCAATCCTGATTTTGCTAAAGCAAATAATGAGCGTAAGTTTTCATTCTTGCAGATGGAAAGGGGAGTCTCTTCGAGAGAGTATCAAACGACATGAGCACTTTCTTGCCTTACAACTCGGCCTAAAATGTGGACAGAAGGTTTTTTTTTTTTTTTTTTTTTTCGATTTGCTGAGCATTGAAAACTATACTCCATCATATGACATTAGTTTGGATGTTAAGTAAAGCAATCACTTTCCCAAACAGGTGTTAGATGTTGGATGTGGAATTGGTGGACCACTGAGAGAAATTGCAAAGTTCAGGTGAAGGCAATGCATACTATAACATCAAAATTCTTTCTATTATCTTTGGCTAATCAAATAATTCTTAAGGGAGTGATCACAGAGTAGTTTTCATTGTGTTGTCATATGTGTGTAAATGGATAGGTGACTTTAGTGTGGTTTTTGGTTGTTTGGTCAAGGCCTGGTTAGGATTTTTTCACTTCTCTTTGTTCTCTTTTTTTTTTTTGGTTGAATATATGACTCAGTTTGCTCTGTGTTTATTATTAATACTGAATTTATCATTTGCCTCCTAGTATTAGTAACTTAAGGCTGTAGTTTTTGATGGAAAAATGATTCCTTTTTTTCTGTTGGCAATCAACTGAAATTTTATTGTTATCTTTTACCGCATATATATAAGTTTATGAATGATTCCACTGGTCTTGCATCCATGCATTTTCTTCTTTCTACAAGAGCCTCTTGTTTCCTGGATAGGGATGTGAAAATTGTGATTTTAATGGTGACTTTCTGCAGCTTCACATCAATTACCGGGGTGAACAACAATGAGTATCAGATAGCAAGAGGAAAGGTGCTTATATTTTCTGATCTTGCAAATATTTGTCCCCACATCTATGATGGTTAATTGATGCAGAAAAATAATATCTTAATCTAGAATTAATTTTCTTTTCTTTAATTATTATTATTATTTTGTGTTTTAAAGTTTTTTAGATTTATTTATCCATTTTAAAGTTTTACTTTTTAGGTGAGTTTTAAATATTATTAGAAATTAAACCTTTTAGATTCTCTTTTATAATTTTCATTTTTAGTTGTAACTACACGTCTATATAAAGGCTATGAATTACTAATAAAGAGAAAGAACAGATGATGAACTAAGAATTTCTTTGTTAGTGGCTTATTGGCTGTTATCTCTCTCTTTGTTCTTCTTGAGCCTCTCTCATTCAATCTATTTCTCCATATATTACTTGATCTTGATTTCTGATTTCCTCTTGGTAGCTTTAATCTTTCGTTTTTGTTTTTTTCTTTTTTTAATGTAAAATTTCCTCTGTTTCTAAAATATCAACCAGATAAGTTAGTTTAAATGCTATTTTTAAATTATCTACCCGACAAGTTAGTTTAATCGCTACTTGTTTAGCATTACTACTAGTTATTTGTTTTTCCTTCATTGTGCGTTGGAGCTTTCTTTTCATTTATTGAATACTTGTTTTAATGGAACCCTGAATGGTTATCTCTAAAAGCAAAGTGGTTCCCTTTGTAATTTACATCAGATAGACACTGCATGGTTTTCTAGCATGAGAATGCTAGAATCATCCCTCTTCCTCTGCCATTCAAAATGCTTATTCTTGAATATGAGTTTATGACATTTATGATATCTGTTACTTGACAGGAACTAAATCGCATTGCAGGAGTGGACAAGACATGCGATTTTGTGAAGGTTGGTGGTGTTCTTTGTTAATTTATTTTCTTGTTACAAAGTTATATTTTCTCAATTTTTTAGCTCCTTTTACTTATGATATGCACTCAATTGGTGTCTGTTCTTACTTGTGCAGGCTGACTTCATGAAGATGCCATTTCCCGATAACAGTTTTGATGCAGTTTATGCAATTGAAGCTACCTGCCATGCACCAGATGCTGTAAATCAACTTAACTGATCTATTAGAATTCTGGTGATAATTTCCTTGACTAGGATGTCAATTTACACTTTTTTTAGTAATATTTCTGTTTGTTTCCTGGATAGCATGGATGCTACAAAGAGATTTATAGAGTATTAAAGCCTGGGCAATGTTTTGCTGCATATGAGTGGTGCATGACTAATTCTTTTGATCCCCAGAATCAAGAACATCAAAAGATTAAGGTTAGATATCCTAGAAATAACAGAATCATCTTGTTAGTTATATAACCTGTCATTTGATAATATGAAATTCCAAGGATAAAAAAGATCTCGTTGTACAGGCAGAAATCGAGATAGGTGATGGCCTTCCAGACATCAGGTTGATTGGACAATGCCTTGAAGCTCTGAAACAAGTTGGCTTTGAAGTGAGTCCCCCAATCAATGATCTATCATGATCCATAAGGGTCAATATTTATTGACACCAAGTTAATTTATTTTCTTTTCTGTGAAAAGATCATATGGGAGAAAGATCTTGCTGCAAGTTCACCTGTCCCATGGTACTTACCTTTAGACAAAAGCCGCCTATCACTAAGTAGCTTCCGGCTAACAGCCGTTGGACGGTTCATTACCAAAAACATGGTAAAGTCTGTTTCAATGCTCCTTTCATTATTATTTCGCAAAAATCATGCTCATATTCACAATTGATGTGGTGGTACATATGTGAATTTGTTAAATTAGTTCATGAATAATCATTGGAATTGCAGGTCAAGGGCCTAGAGTTCGTGGGACTTGCCCCTAAGGGAAGCCAAAGAGTTCAAGACTTTTTGGAGAAGGCTGCAGAAGGATTGGTTGAAGGTGGAAGGTTCGTTATGCTACCCTATCTCATTTTTTTCAATTTTTCATCAGTCTTTCCTTAAAATATGATAACTGGTTGACACCAGAGTCTTAGCTTTCCAATCTTATTTTCATTCTTACACAAGAAAAAGGGAATATAATTGTTTCTCTCTTCAAAAGACTAGGACTGTCTGCACATAGTGAGTGATTCTCCGAAGGCTGCTCTTGTGACTACAATGGCTTGCCTTCCGTATTTTTCTTTCGGATCAGTAACTTTAACTATATTCTGCATTAGTTTTGTGAAAAACAACAAAAGTTTTCTGGAACAATCAAAAAGAAGAAAGCAAAGAAGAATCACAATAGCTCTTTTCTCTTATTCTTCTGATAATTGATGCACAATGAAATTACTAATATTATTATTGTCACTATATTCCAGGAAAGAGATTTTCACTCCGATGTATTTCTTCCTGGCTCGCAAACCGGAAAACCAGTGATTAGAGTGCTTGAGTAGAGACATTTTAGAAATGGTGAACTGACAATCTAGGAAACTTCTAGTTCTGTCTTCTCTTTTTTTATTTCTTCCCTTGTCTACAGCCGGTTAAGTATTTCATTTTCGCCTTCGAGGCTTTGTGTTCATTCAGCTTTAATCTTATGTTGCTACTTGTTCAGGTTTTGACGTCATTTCCAGTTTCTCATTTAGATCTTTTGATGTGGGTTTTGCCTGTCCTTGTTTTCATTTTCAGTTTCTCAATTCACTAGAAGTCTTCTAAACTTAATTCCAATAGGATATAATGTAAGAATATTTTTTATAAATTGTTTTTAAGGACTTAAATGCCAGTTTGATACTAAAATATTTTATAACGATTTAGTTTCTTGTTTAATATACAGATTTTGAACTTTTAAGAAACAGATGCTTATTCACATAAAAAAACTTGCAGTTTATATTAAAGAAATTTTAAAGTCAATACAGTTTTGAATAAATTCAATTATATGATTCTAAAATCAAACCCCTTCAAACAAAAGACTGAAGAAAATGATTAGAAGAATCACTGAATTAGAAAAATAATTATTTTCAAAAGGGAGATTTTTGTTACTTTTAAACTTCAGATCAATTATTATTTTAATTTTAAAAATTATTTGTAATATTATAATTAGGTCTAAGTTTACTTTTTTTTAGTTATAATTTAATTTTTACACTTAAAATCGTGAAAAATTTTATTAATGTTATTAAGTATTTTAAATTTTTTGCCACTTTTTGTTACTTATGTAAAAGAAAATTTTCGAAATATTGTGGTTAAAATTATATTTTATATTTATAAAGATTAAATTGGTAATTTACTCTAAATTTAAACCTAAAAATCTACATTCACTAGTAAATGTTAATTATATAAAAATTAATTTTAAAAAATTTATTAATTTTGGGTTGATTGAATTAACATATAAACAAACAAAAATATATAATACTAACAATCACAATTAAAATTT